TATATATATATATGTATATATATATATATATATATGTATATATATATATATATGTGTATATATATGTGTATATATGTGTATATATATATGTGTATATATATATATACATCCAACAAACACCAAATAACAGTTATATAAATATTATAACTATTAAATTATAATTGTTTGTTAAAATATTCTTCTCAACAATGTAAATGCAATATAATAAGTGTTATATAACAGATATATTGTTTATATTATTTTGTGTAGAATTGTAACTAGCAGTTGTTACTATTACTTGATTTATGTGTAGATATCTTACAATTTCTATTTAAAGTTGACATTTAGATAATGTACTATTAAACTTTAGAATATTTATATTAATGATATATATACGCATATATATATACGCATATAAGCATGTTACTTGTAATTTCCTACTCAACAATATAACTGTTATATAACACATATAATATAACACATATGTTATATAACAGTTATATTGTTGAGTAGGAAATTACAACTAACATGCATGTTACATGTAACGTTGCTGCTGGGTATATTCTCTGCTTTAATACATATTTATTAAGCATAGATTATTATACTTATATACTTATGACATATACGTAAAAATGATTAAAAATAACGAGACATTTATTAATAACAAGGAAAATAGTCAAAGTTTCTGTATATTAAACCAAGTTAAACATTCAATTAGGTTATATGAAATAGATTAATACCCAGTAAACACGAAGTAACAGTAACATAACCTCAATGTTACAATTTCCCACTCAATAATATAACTGTTATATAACAGTTATATTGTTGAGTAGGAAATTGTAACATTGAGGTTACTGTTACTTGGTGTTTACTGGGTAGAAAATGTTTTTTTGATTATAACATAACTAAATTTTATACTAATAATGCATTCACACACACATATCTTCTCTATATATTCCTTATATATTGTGACGATACGATCTCGCGTGCGAAGCGGTCTCGCGATGCGATGCCTCGATATCGCGATGCTCGACAAATCAGGGACGAGAGTCAGCTGAGGCTGGTTGCCCCAGCTCAACCAGATCAACGAGAGGGGAGCGGTGTACTTGGACACGGTGCATTTGGACACAGCCAATCACAGCACCGTGTGATTAGAGACATTTGTAGGGTCCCTTGGAATAGCGACTTGTGATTGGACTGTGGCCAATTGCCCCGTGTCCAACTGATATACACCCAACGAGAGCGAGCGAGAAGAATAACACGAGTCCTCGAGCGCGACGGACGTGTTTTTATCAAACGACGCGCGAGATTATTAAATTGTATTCAAATTAGATCAAAGGCTGTAAATATAACGCTTGGTTAATCTTTGTTATCTGGTTCCTCTTGTTTATTGTGCGAACGCGGGCGGACGCGACAATATGTTCCTCTTCTTCTTTTTGTACCTTTTTTTCTTCCTTACTTTCCCTTTTTGGCTTTTACGTTATTGTATTGTGCAGCATGCGCATATGTTGTTACCATTGTAAAGGCCAGAGCACAGGCTTTTGCATAACGCATAATACATAACGCATAAGAGAATAAACCAGAGTTCTTCATTTCTATACTGAGGAGGGAAATGAAGAAATCTGATTGGTTTATTTGTTATTGGTTTATTGGTTTTCACAGAGCGCGTCAGGCGTCGCATGCCGAGCAAAGTTTAAGCTGAGTTTCCACTTAGTGTGCCACGCGTTACGTCATCCGTCGCGTCACGATTAAATAAATCCAATATATCGCAGAATACATACATCGCTCACATTCTGTCATATGCTTTTTTAATATTTTGTAATATTGCTGCAACATTGCTAAAGCAATATTGCAAATTAATGTCTTTGCAACGTCTCTGCAATATTGCACGGTAATATGCAATGTTGCAAGTTTGCAGCAATGTTGCTGCAAACTTCTTTGCTGTATGGGTAGTTTTCAACACATATTTCTTTTGTGATAGCTTTGATAGGACTTAATATTTGTATAATTTCTTTGGCAAACTGTAATTCTGAAGCTGTCAACATTGGAGGTGCCTGAAGGAATTTCAATAATATTAAACTAATTCTTTCAGACATTTCAATAAATTGTTCTAACATATAAAATGTCGAATTCCAACGAGTTGGAACATTTTGAATTAACTTTTTAGTTTCAAATTTTCGTAACTCATCTGATGCAGCGACAGAATGTTTGAAAAATGTAACTACTGCTTTCACTTTTTCGCAAAAATCTGCAACTTTGTCATTGTTTTTTAATAACGTTGTTACCACTAAATTTAGGGTATGCGCAAAACAAGGCAAATGTTTGCCTTTCCCAAATGTATCATTAATCGCTTTTACGATATTTGATGTATTATCTATTACAATGGCTATAACATTATCTTTTTTAATATTCTAGTCAGAACATATACATAAGAGAAATACGCAACCGGCGCCCATTGACCAGATCTCTGCTTCTGTAACAATATACCCGCTAATCCCGACGCACTAGCATCCGTATGCAGTTCCGTTTCTAACTTAGGATTATACAGTCTCAACATCGGATCTTAGATCTTTAAATGATAGGGTAGCGAAACAGAAGTTTCCGTTTCCGCTTATTGAGGACTGCTTAGATATATCCGTTGTCAAACATAAATGATCAATAGTAGATCATTTTGTTTTTATAACATTTGAAAGTAGTTCATATTTCTTTTGTATCAAATTCGTTATTGTTTTCCTTCCAAAAATTTTATACAAGGGCACAGATGTTTTCATAAAATATTGGAAACCTTCTTTCTGTACCGTATTATAAGGTAAATTATCTTTCGCTATCATATAAAGAATACTATTTGTTATTTGGCCATGCTGCTTACCTCCATCTGAAATATAAATAAAAATATAAAGCTCGTGATCAATAGAAAATATGATCAGTGCATTTTAATTTGTAAAACCAATTTTAGACTCCTTGCCAGTCACTGTATCGAACACGAATTATGATAAACAAAAAGCTAATTTGTTTTAATATATATAACACAAAAATATAATTTGTGATTTCTCCCTTTTGATATCATAACTCAATACGATAGTAACATCTGACAAAAATTTTTAAATTAGAAGTACAAAGTAAATAAATTTTCTTACCTTCAAAACTTTTCAGATTTAATAATGTTTTGTCAATTCGCGGTTGGGCCTTTTTTAACATTCTTCTCTTAATTGGTTCAATTCTTGTTGCTGTTGAAGAACATGTTGATGTAGTAGGTGAGTTTATAGATATAGGATCGGTTACAAGTGGTACCGATGCACCTATCGTAAAATTTGTTTCATTTTTATTAATTATTACAGGATCGTCGGCATCTTCGTTAAATACCCTTATAGAAATATCATACTAAGAATCATTGATAATTACTTATTTTCAGTATTAAAAATACTAGATAATAAGTAATTGTCAATGATCCTTAGTATGATATTTCTATAAGATTATTGTAAGATCGTCACATTTATTATTATTCTAAAATTTATAAAAAAAAACTTCAACATATAAATTTTATTTTCTATATAAATGTTATATTAATTTCACAAATTTATTATATTAATTCACAGAATTTGATATTACATAATTATATTGTATTTCTTTTTTTTATATACCTTCCCAGATAGCACAGAGAATTAAAAAAAAATTTAAAAAGTATTCTGTCGCATGTCAGTAATTCTATTTTGAGATGCAAAAAGAATTCTTCAGAGTTCAGTTCAGTGAAAAGGATTCTTTTTGTATCTGTAAGGTATTAAATGGTATAATCTATTTCACAACAAAGAAATAACAGTTTATTATTCAAACTACACAAAAGTCCGCTCGCCACGTGTTCCGTGCACGCCGCACACAACCGTTACAAAGCTACCATTGCCGCTATACCGGACTACACGTACACGCACCGGCGTTAATGCCGTCCGAATATCCGTGTAACTCGCTCACGATAACGCGTCACTCATACACTGCTGCGTGTAGGTGATCCATGAGCAGCACGGAGTGGCGGAGGGAGTTAGCGGTATACGATCGTCGGACGCTTGGAGAGGGAATAGTGATGGGAGTCGCGGCGATCTTCCATCCTCTATCGCAAACGTAAGAACGAGAGAAATAGCATTATAAGACGTCTGGACAGAAATGCCGTCCTAAAATACGTGTGACACACACTAAGAAAACGCTTGACTCACACTGTCTCGTCTATACGTGAGCAATACGCGGTGTCCCAATGATTGTTTTGCTCGCTCGAACGTTTATGCATTTTTTCTTGTTAGCAAGAAAATTACTGTAATATAAAAGGAGATCTTGGGAAAGGGGGTTTTCAGGAGGCTTTGACAAATGCTTCTTAATAGCTGCTCTTGAAAAAAAAAATATTAGATTTATTTCAATATAGAATACTGAATCAATATAGAATTCTGCAACAATACAGCGCTTGTATAGGTTGTCGAAGTAGAGTATTTTTAATTTTAGTGTTGCATAAACACGCGAGGTATAATTATTTCATATTTTATGCGTTCGAGTATCGTTCCATCGTTATAAAATTTGGTGGCCCCGAAAAGAGCCGATTTTTGTGCTGAAGAAATTGAGGTCGATAGTCAATAATCAGTCCAATATTCGGCACGGTCGATAACTTGATTGAATTGATTAGGTATCGAATCAATTATGTTCGCGAGAAAGTCCAGTCGAAGCCATGGTTCTTCCCAGACAACGAACGAAAAAGAGCGGATAGCTTTTAATCATCAGAAATATTTTTAAGATGTTGCATTGATTTCAAATAAATGTTAAAATAACATTTGAAAAATATTTTTTGTAATGTTTTTGAAACGTTTAAACAACATTCAGAAAAATCATATCATAAAATAACATGTGTAAAATATGAATGCAATATTATTAAAAAAAT